GAATATTATTAATCAGAAAACGATTTTTCTTGCATTAGATTGCTCAAGTAGATGAAGGATGCATCAACGCATTGCTAACTTTAGAATACTTGAGTTTATTGTGTCAAATAGTACCAAATGAGAAAAGCAGCGAAATTATATATGGCCAAGTGCATCAAGACATTAAATTATCGAAGAGAAATGTTAGAAATATCAAGAATAATGAATGCAGTGCTGAAGAATTGTATCAAGGTCTACCAATCGCTGATGAAAAGATACATCCAATGCATTTCTTTTTCGATGCATTAAATATTTTACCAAAATGTCAGCAGGCTGAATTACTATTTTCCATGTTTGCTAATGGTAAGATTTTTGTGCATATGTAATAATGAAGCTATGAAACACATAGTGCATTTTGGAGAACATTCATTTGAGCCATCATCATCCAGTTATCACTTTTGCATTAAGTGGATCATAAATTTCAAATTAGAACATCAAATCATTAGATGGATTAAGTCAATCAATGGTTAACATATTTTTATATTCATTTAACACCATTTGTACCAATGTTTTGTATATACCTATTTTTATCAGAATAATTTTATAATCATTAAAGTGCAAAAGTTATTTCAGGAAAAGTAATTACACTTAAAAAATAATTTTGAATTACAATTTTAAAAGAGGTTGCTTGACTCCATTTGGTAAAAATAGCATTCTGAAAGATGTCTCTTCACCACTTTGTAAAAAATAGTATCAATCTTGCCATTTTTTGTAATTGTTCTAGTTGATGTAAGTGAATTCTTACAGTTAAATCGAAATGTATAATTACTTTAAGGTTCAACTGCCAAGAATGAAAGTCAAGGACGTGCAAATAAGATCTTAATGGACAATGTTTTGGAACACGTAAAACAGTTACACAATAAAGAACTTCTCTTAACGTCTGCAGAGTCTCAGAAGTTCACGACGATGCTCCTTAATAGATCTCGAGATGGTGGTCCACGTTTACCGTTTTTTTCTTTAAAAGGTATCGATTTATTTTCAAATGTATAATCTTAAAATCACCAGTAATATGACCTCGAGAAAAGTTTTCTGTTTGTCATAGCATTTGCACCTTCAATCAAAAAAATATTTTGCTTTGATATTTCTTTCACATTATCAACAGCAAGTGAAATATTAAATTTCATTAAGTTATTTTTACTCAGCCTGTATATGCTGTATTAATATATGTTGTTTATTCATCTAAAATCTACTTTTAGAAAGACCATTTTACTACAATGATCAGTGCTCTTATCCACGATGGAAGTGTTTTATCAAAGGAATTAGTACAACACACGTTATTATCACAATTTTACCTGCATCAGAAAAGGATGTACGTTTATTTAATTCATCTACACATGTCGAGGATTTCTTCGTGAGCAATAACTCCGAGAAAAATTACAAATCTTCTGGTAAATTTGGTACATTTAGATCTGGTAAATTTAATGTTTACTACTATTCATGTAGTACTAGAAATATTTATTGCGATACTTAAATATGAAATACGTGTACTACTCTTATTATTGCCAATGTAGAAATATGATTGTGTGATTTTTAACTAATGGCTGACATTATTTGGCATTTTAAAAAATCATATAATCGCATCATCTTAATAACAGTACTGACACTTATTAAATCAGATACATACAGTTAAAATACTCTTTTAAAACATTTAAAAAAATATCTTTGAAATCATGTATCATATAAGAAAATCAGGCAGTAAGGAATTGAAAAAAGTATGATTTATCAAAACATATATCAAAACGACTTGCAGTCCGACACTATAACAGCTGCGCCCAACGATAATTACGTGAACGTTAAGATTTTAGTATATGCAGCATACAACACAATTTTCGTTTTATTTTTTTTTTTATTTTATTTCCTAGCTTCAAAAATTGCTGCTTGGAACATAGAAGCGTTTAACGTTACATAAAATACTTATTGAATGAAAACAAGAAGTACATATAACTTTGTTTTTTCACGGAAAAATGATTGATGAACTGGGCTTCTATGCCTTACCACAAAATCTAGAAAAAAAATGAGAACACTATTTGTGATAACATCTTATTGGAAAATTAATATAAAAGTGGTAAGTTTTCAATTTCCATGAAAAGTTTACATTTTTTCGATTTTTAAATATATAATCACTTTTTGCAACTACAGTTTGTAACAAAAATATCTGAAAGAATCCTCTCATATGTGGTTTGTGGTCCAAAATATGTCATATTTTTTCGAAATTTAGGAACCAACCGAAAAGAGATAATTGGTTGCAAAGCGTGTAATATATTTTACCTTATAACTTTCCTTGTAGTCAAGCTACAGGGTTGAAATTTGTCACGAAGAGTTCTTTCTTAGTCAGGTATCGAACGGTATAATATTCATTGAAAAAGGCATTAAAAGGCATTGGTTAAGAGCATTGTCTGTGAAATACTGCCAGTGAAAACTGTCTCGAAAAAGCTTGTATCGGTGAAATCTGTGGGACCCGTGAGTTGAAGTTATATTATTGTTGAAAAAAACTTCTTTCAATACGTTAGCTCCAATTAAACATGTAACTATAAAAATGGTGTGTTACATATATTTATAGAAAATGATGCAATAAATATTTCTAGTACTATTGGATGTATATGAAACTATCTTTAGTAAAACGTTTGCAAAAAATAATATTATATCAAAACAGGAGAGAATGGAAACTTTCAAACTTTTGAAGAAAATCGTGTTATTCCTGTTTATATTTACGATTGTTCACTAGCCTCGTTAATTGATACATTGACCGATAAATCAAAAATATTGCATAATAAGGATATATATCAAGATCATACATTTCGGCTTGGACAACAGGACGGTAAAGATTTTGTTGAATTAAAATTTGGTTGTAACTCGAAACCTTCTTCCCCGGAATCAAAAAGTGATGATTCTGATAACACCGCGAGTGGTAAGTGAAACTGTTTCATTATATTTTATTTATGATTATGAAACAACCGTTAAAGAAATAATCAAATGCTATACAACACTGATGATTATAATGTATCTGTTTTTCCTTGCTATCAATTCTTCCAATTTCAATCATTTTTTTAATCATTTTGTTACATTTTTTGTTCCATTTGATGTCTCACAAAAGGCACTTAAAAATGAAATTCAATTCAAGGACGCACAAGTAGAAATTTCACTTCTAATGATGTTAAATATAGTGTTAAAAACTTAACTATTTTAAAAGTTGCTTCATTTCCTTCATAAAATTGAGTATTTCTATTTGCCATTTATTTTTTCACATTCTTGTATCAGCTCATATGATTATTTTTCTTATTGCCCTCTTATTTTCTCATTAATGGCTATTTGAGATATTACATGATTTTATGCGAATATAATTTTACTATATACCAATGTTTATAATTGATGATCTTCATAGTTTTCTGTATTTAATATTTTTATTTATAACAGATCAACGAAGTCTCACGGAACATTGTAAACGAGTGAGTTTGGCGCACTGTCATTGTTACGTTGTTGCTGTATATAAATCATTAGTATTGCAACATCCTCTTAGTTACGAAGATATGGAAGCCGCTGTAGAACAGTGCGAGGAAACATTAATTGAAATTGACATAACAAATTATTTACGATGCGTATGCAGGCATTTAAGTAAATTATCAGAGAAAGATACATTAGATCAGTTGGAAGATTCGGCATGCAAACATGTTGAACAATTACATGATTTAATTAGGGACAAATTTGAGAAAATAATGACAGTTGCATTTGGGCCTGTGCCCGCACATCCTGAATTCTATTACTGTTCTCCAACTTGGATGGGTCATAAAATGGTATATTCTTGATTTAGAATTCTAGAGTATATGAAATAGTACCTAACAATATAATAATGTGAATACATTACTGAAATTTACAGGATCTCCTTGAACTTCAAAAATCAGACAGTGATGATGAAATAGAAAATGTCATTTTTCGTCCAATAAATATTGATTCCACGTCGCACAATCATCACAAAAAAGGTGCGTAGTAAAATATGATTCAAAATTGCTACTGAAGTATTAAAAATAGTATTTTTGAGTTACAAGCTTTGAAGTACATTTGGATAAAGAGCACAGGTTATTTTTTACGTCCAAAATTTGTTTCTTTGGAATGAATTACAGTAGAACTTTTCATACATAACTTGAAAATTGCAGAAAAATTGCATTTCTATGGCTAACAAATTACTTGAATAAATTTCCTGGCAACAAATGTTGGAATCTCACACATAACTGACACAAATCTACAAAACGTATTTTTTTCAAATAACTAACATAATTTTAAATATTAAATTGTTTATAAACAGTTCAGTCGGAAAATTTAGTGTGGCCTGCCAGAAGTACACACAGAATATCAAGCCAGGACTCTGTCGAATATTTATCAAATGATTTGCAAGAAGAAAATATTTATGAGAAGGAACAACCCCTTTTTTTGCAATTAAGTTGTTCTATTCGATTCCAATCCAGATCCGGTCTTAGTACTGTGCCAGTAAAAACTCTGCCAACCTGTTTTATGGAAATCTTACAAAAAATGGAAGATTATAAAAATAAAAGTATAGCAGGTGTAAGTCCGAGTGATCTAAAAATTACTTTGGATATAATCTGTTTAAATTTACCAAGAGAAGTATTAGAAATAAATCTGGAGCGCTACTCTGGCTTACGTACAACGTCATTTTGTAGTGGCTCTCCCATTAGCAGTTTGCGAACAGAAAGCGGAAGTAGTTCTGAGAATAACACTAGAAATGAATTTTTCCAAGAAAAAATGTCTCATCTTCCTTTAAATCAACATAGCGCAATAAACAATTTGAAAGATGAAATCGAATGGCTTCTACAAGACGAAACTGCCACCGCCCTATTGGACCGACCTTCTGTCAATGAAGAAATTTTGAAATTTGTCGCAAATCACGTTTCAGAATCTTCAGACAGATTTAGTTGTAAATTAGAAAAAGTTCCATTGCATTTTGTTTTCCCCTCAGAGGACAGTAAACCAAAGTTTCTAAATGAATTGAAAAAACTTGAAATTGATAAATACCGTATTCAGCAAGAAGGAAAGCTCTTTTATTTTGTAAAAAGCATGGAATACATACCGACTATAGTAACGCAAATGGATTCGAGCAATGACAGAGAAGAAACAAAAGTCAGGCATGGTATGTTTTATTATGAAAGTGTCAAGTCTATCACGTATTAGGATTTATGTGTTACAATTAGTGTGTTACATACAGAATTATGTAATACAAAATGTATTTCCCAGATATAATAATTTCGACGATATTTGTTTAAGGTAATACCGTAGATAGTACAGAGAAGAAAAAATTACACACAAGTAATGAAACTGAAAATGAAACTCAACACAATTCTGAAACTGATAGTAAAATTGAAAATTATGGATTTGAAGATTCTAATATGACAGAAAGAATATTTGAATTAAATGATACACATAAAGGACAATGCAATTCAAAACAGGGTTTTCAATGGCTAAGAGATCTTGATAATCGTGAAAATTTTTTACCGAATTTCTGGTTAATTTTGAAAGTAGAAAGTGATTATGTCAATGTTTATTTTCACTGTAGGTAAGTAATTTTCAGGATTTAATTCTAAGTATATTTTGCATTTTTTCCAAAATTATACATTTTTTTTTAAATTAATATCGTTATTATGAGTAATATTTTTCTTGTTTAGTAATTTGATTAACGATGTCTAATCGTATTAACAACAGTTTCTTGCTACTCCTGAAAAACATATTAAATTACGTCACTTTCGTCAAAAAGCTGCTATATAGTTACTTGACTAAATATAAAATCATATACTACTCTACAAAATTAAAGGATTACTAATTTATAACCGGATGTTACCGATTTAACACCTGCACATTTCAGAGATAAAGTTTCTACTTTCAAAGGTGACAACATATTTCAAGGTCATTGAAATCGAAGGTGGCTATTTTAATTGCATATCTACGCAAAATAGAATATTTGAAGAAACTGACAATAAGTTCAAGAAGGTGAAATTAAAGATATCATCCTGCAAAATTGATGCATGCAGAATATTGTTAGATCTTTTTACACGATGTTATAGAAATTCGAAGACAGATAATTTTTCGGTTATAATTTAGTGATCCCTTAATTTCGTAGAGTAGTGTACAAATGTTTACATATTTGCAACAATCAATAGGTTCTTAGAAATTGCATCGGCAGAAGTAAGCAGTTATTGGCAAACTCAGAAGACATTAATTAGTCAAATAAAAAGTACTTGCCGTCAAGTGAATCAATATTTACTTTTACAAAATCTTCACAAGACCAGTAAATGTTCAGAGCTACTGGAAACTGAAACAACCGAAGACTTCAACTGGAAATCCGAAACAACAAACGAGTTTAACAGTAGTATACAGAATAGAGATTCAGCACAAAATTTCGCTCCTGGTATGTTCCGATGTAGGGTAGTCTGGGAGTTTACTTTTCGATTACATCCTCGATTGAAAACTGGACCTGGTAGGTCCGGGCTCTCGCGGGGTATAAAAGCATTACACGGAGTGTTAAACAGATTTGCCGTAACTAATCGTAGCAACATGTTCGTCTACCAAGAAAATAATAAAAATGTATTTTACCTAAGACTTCACGAACAAATAAGTGATGGCAAAATGTTACAGAACAAGCTATCAGAAAGCGATGAAAAACTTGTCGTTTCTCGTAGCAATAGCGTAATTTCACTGTCGCAGACAAAATTAAGTGATAATGCCATGGTGAATGACACACGGCCTAGAGTTCGATCTTTCAGTGAAAAAGAATCGAACATCTTGAACAGAACTGAAGATTCGATTGTTTTAATGGTACATGGAATATCAGACGCTGGACCAGAAGTTAAACGCGATTTAGTGCAAGTTTTACAAAATCGTCTGGATGATGCAGTATTGGAAGTCTTATCCGTTATGTTAGCAAGAAATCCAATGTGTAAACTAACTCCTGACGATGTTCATTTCATACAACCACCAAAGCCACCGGAGTGTATAATAAAGTTGTGTATAGAAAAACATTGTATACCATACATTGGGGCTCTAGAATTTTATTTACGACAAAATATCTTACAATTTCTGTACATACCGAAGTATACCGATAACAAGGTAGATTGTCACTTTCAAGATTATTCACAGATTGAAGGATCGACAAGACGTGTTGCCGAAACAGATATTTTCTTATACAATCAAAGTCACTCCAGTGGTAGTAAAGGAATCGCTTGTATAGCATTTGCTATTACTGACGATGGTGGAGAACCGATTAAATCATTGGATAGGGAATTAGTAGAAAATGGTTTCCCAGAGAATATAAGGGAAGATGACTTTGAAAATATTGTCGCAACGTCAGTTTTTGATAAAAAGTCAACTGTTTCATCACCCTTGATTGAATTCAAGATTTGGAAACAGGGCAGAGTCAATATCGAAGCTTTGTTGCAAAAATTGTGCTCCACAGTGAAACATGCTATTTGGGATTTAGTGACAGAATATAAATTTTTACCAACACCTTTGACAGAACCATTACTAAATGCTACAAAAACACATATGGAAAACGCAAACGCAGAGACGTCAACTAAATCCGACATATCACAGAGGATAGTTCCAGATTTGTCGATTAACCGATTTGAAACAGGCGAAGATGGAAAATTACATTTTATTTATTGTGTGACATTTTCTCAGTGGTTCCGTTTTGCCTTAGAAATTGGAGTTCCGTCGGTGAAGAAACATGAAGTAAATATTTATCACAGACATTCTATAGCTACTATTGTTAGAGAATTAGAAATTCTTATCCAGAGTCAAGCGCCTGACACGTCAAGCAGAGCTTTTGTTTTGAAAGATAAACAACCTTTCACTGAAAAATTCGTTTTAAATGATGAAACAACAAACAAAGAGAATGACTGTCTTGATTCAAAACATGAAGACAATTCGAACCTGCCTCATTACGTACCCTGCGATTTTAATAAAGATGAACAAGGAACATATACAAAATGTATTTTAATAGCTAGAAACTTTTGTCAGTGGAAAGCTTCCTTCGACGAAACAGTACAGTCAGAAGTATTTGTCCCAAAAGGTAAATTACATTATTGAATCATTCCAAAATACAAATATATCTTTGTTGAAGATCATTTTTTTTATGAAACAAAATTTATTCTTCCTTTAACAAAACTACTATTATTATAGCTACGACTTGTAACATTATAGTTACCCCTCATACATAACATGTCTACAAATATATTGCTATTTTATCCCACTTTTATAAATATTTAAATATTATCTTTATACGATGATGTTAACTTCCAAAACATCGTATTGTCTTTACACATATTATTTGTATTCACATGGATTAATTAATATCTTTTTTGTCATAGATCAAAAGGTATTACAAAAGTTTAATCCGTTGATATTGGAATCAAGTTTTGTATCAAGACAACGAATAATACTTGCTAAAATTCGAAATGATAAGGTACGCATTAGGTATTTTGTGTAAGTAGTGTTTTCATATAATATTAGATAATATTAGAATTGATGTATCAAAATAAATAATTATGATTATGTACAAATAAACACTCTTTACTGATTTCAATGATCTTCAAATATATTAACAAGTTCAACAAGGTAATTCTATAAACTCGGAAATTACAAAAATATTGTTTGTTGCAGATTACGCTTTATATGTACAACTGGTCTAAGGAAAAGTCTGAAAAGCTAATGAAACAGGCTAACAGTTTGGGAACATGGCTTTCTTCAAGATCTAATTTTTTTAGGAATATATTAATGCAGAAGTTAGGAATATTTCATCATCGACCAAATTTAACAAGAGAAACAAATTCGCATTACTTCCAGATTACGGATACAGATAGTCTAACCAAATTTTCTTCTACGGCACACAACGATGATAAAGAATGGACAAGATCAAATAATAGAGTACAAAGCATAAAACACAATCAGTTCTCATGGAACGAAGTGCTTGGTCAAACGATGCGCGATGTAAAATCAAATAGTTGTTTACATAATAACGGCGATCCAGTTGCAAAAGCAGTTTACGATTTGCAAGAATTACGGGCTCGTGAAAAGAAAGTGAAAGGTAAGTATTGAAAGAAAGAAAAGCAATTTTATTTATGCATTATTTTGAATAACGATGAAAGCAAAGTAATATGAGCTTACACTTAATATTTAAAATTTGAATCACCTTCAACTTACTAAACATAATTGATATAGTTAAACTGTTTTTACATAAGAAATCGTGCATTCTCAAGTAAAAGTTTTTAAAGAAAAATTTAGGTCACAAAATACTTGAATGCCTCTCTTGGTTTCCAAAGTGAAAAAGAAAGTTTGCAAAGTAAAATGAAACCGTCCAAAGTGGCTAACATGATGACATTAACAGATTTTATCATTAATGGTTTTTTAATGATTATTTTAATGTCATTGATATTTTTTTAAATAACTATATTTTTCACTTCATGATACAACAACTAATACAGATAAGATTCAATGACCTAGAACACGCTATTACCTGGAAATGAGCTTGAGTATTTCTTTTTTATATTATGTATTTTGTAATGCAGCAATCATCGTAGTTGGTAATATTATACATAAATTACATAAATAATATTTTACTAAACAACTGTAAGTTAATAATCTTTACATAAATTTTGCTTGTTCTTTCAGACGATTTAAATAAACTGTACGTAATGTGGCAAAATCGTAGTGCTGCGCCAAATATTCCAATTTCAATCAGTGCTTTGAATACTTCCAAACAACATTCTCGTTTGATACATTTCTGTCACACGCCATTGTTATTTTTACCTTCATGGCGTTTGCAATCTGCAGCGACAAGAGATCATTCATTAGCAACACAGTCTCCATTGAATACAAATACCACTGTCCATCAACAATTGCCGCAACAAGTACAACCAAATCAAAGTATGCAAACAGATATGGTAAAGTGGCACCATGAATTGTGTAGTTTGATGTTATCTGAATACAAACAATACCTTCAAATAATGGGATTTAATCCGGTTCAAATGGAATCACTTACTAAAGGGTGAGTTTTTAAATATCGGACTCATGATCAGATGCTAACCGATACTAAAACAAATACATACTCAGAAGTCAGGTGAAATACACATGCAGCAATCATAGGTATAATGTATATGAAAAAGGATTATATGTATATGATATAGTGACAAACATTATTAAGTAAATAAAGATGTCATTTAATAGTTTTTCTTATTTAATATTACATTCATTTTTATGTAATTATGTTTATAAATAAATTTTATAATCAGGCTTACGGAAATGTATGTAATCAATTTATTTTGTATATTTACAATCTCATAATAACTAAAACACTGTGCATTAAGTTGAAAAGATATTATTTTTATAGTGGTTTGTAAACATTACAGTATTTTTTGTTTTATTCAGTATTCTAATTACACTTATCTCTACGTTTTCATTTAAAATCTGAAAATTAGTAGTTTCAATTATAGAGATGAATAGACAAAATACTGTGTATCTGACAATGCTATAACAACCATTAAAATTAGTTGAAGTATTTAAAATCGTCATCATAATAAGTATATCATAAAAAAATATGATGAACAGATCATAAGGAAATGATCTCAACTATATTGTCCGGAATAGATTTCCATTTTAATAATTCCTAATCATTTTCAGTAATGAAAACCAAACACAGCAACAATCCTATTATCTCAAAAAATCTATGTTGGGAGGAGTACTGCTGTTTGAGATTTATTTCTCTCAACCATTTTTTATAGTCAAGTTACATATTATTGAGTGCAATCGACTTCAGACGAAAACAACTAGCGCGTTGGTTAATCAGGTACGTTGGCCTTAAATTAATGAAATTATTTATCATTGATACTAGTTTTCTTCAAGTAAATATTTCCACGAAGATCGGACAAATATAAATTGGATTTTATTTGTAGTACTTTATTGAAATAATACTCTTTTATTCAAATCATTGGATGTTTGTACTATTATATATGTATATGTTACAGTGAAACACTGAAATCTGGAGAATGTCGACTTTCACCGGTGAATGTCAACATTCACATAGTCGCTTGGTGTATGTCCGAAATATTTGCTAAATACCCTTATTTCTGACTTACACCGGTAAATGTTGACATTCACCATGCACTAATGGTGAATGTTGAACATGTTGGAGATTTATATTTTCTTCTCCGTAATTCAGTCGCTATAAAACGCCACAAGGGTGACGTAACTTTTTCGCCTCTCTTTCTGAAAGGAATGGCCAAGAATTTAAAATACACGGTACATTCTACATGAGAAAAGAAAATAATAGTAATAAAAAAATTACTTACTTATGTGATTCAAATCTTATTTATTGCAACAACTTAAACTATTATGACACTTTGAATTGCACAAGAGTCCCTTGCTTTTACAACTGCATTTATTTGTGAAACACTTCCTTTTGCAATGACAGCGTCTATAGCCTTGTCCCCCGCTTCTCGAATTAGCTGCAGCTGCTTCTTTCAGCGACATTTCTTGAAAAGAAATCTCATCTATGGAAAGTAACTTTTCTTTACAAATTACGAACTGATTACGTGTGTAAAGCTGCTTGAGGGTACCATTTTTATTTGCCAGTTTATAGAAGTCGAAGTCTTCAATTCCAACAACAACCGCTAACACATTTTGGTTATCTGTACGACCACGGTCGACATCAGGGACTTGTATTCGTGCATTATCACCAATTTGAGCAGAAGGAAATTGTTTTTGTGAGGCTCGTAACATTTAACATTTTTGTTGCTTGCAGTAGAAGATTTTCTTTCGCGGCCGCTCTTTTTGTAGAAATCAACTCGTGTTGTTCAGTCAGAATTTGATGTGAAGACGTTGTAGGTTGTAGGTCCTCTTCAATATTTTTCTTTGGAATATGGTTTTCGGTATGACCACCGCTCAAATTTTTTTTATAAGCATTAACAGTTTCTTCAAGCTGTTCTTCGGTTTCAGAAGTATTGGCAGTTTCTTCGAGTTGTTCTTCAGTTTCAATATTTGCGATTTGTTCGCCAGGCAAAAAAGACGATGCTATGCCTCTTTTTGCTTTAACGCCAAACATGGCTTCATAAGGACTTTGGCGTATTCCTTCGTGGTTTGTAGTGTTCTTGGCAAATTGAACAAAGGATAAACCATCTGACCATTTATTTGTATCATTATCGTTCATCCATGCAGTTAGCATATTCTGTATATCCTGATTGGCCCTTTCAACTGAGCCTTGTGTTTGACTGTGACGAGGCTTTCCATGAACTATTTTAACATCTTTCCACATAGCGCATATTTCGGATATGACTTGATTACTAAATTCTTTGCCATTATCTGATTGCAATATTGTTGGTGCACCAAATGTTAAAAATATTGAAAGAACGTGATGCGCTACTTCTTCAGTTTTTTTAGTTTTCAAAGGTCGTAGCTGGACAAACTTAGTTAAATGATCTTGATACACCATTATGAACTTATATTCGCCATTTCTGTTTGACTGCAGATCTATCAGATCAACTTGACATCTTGAGTTTAATTCAGAACTAACCATTGGCTTCACAACAATACCTTTCTTAGGTGCACTGTGTTTCATTTGACACTGTTTACATAAATTTAAATACAACATTACAACTTCATATGTAATATTTTTGTATTTAACTTGCAACTCTTTAAGCATACGTGTTCTTCCTCCGTGGCCTATTCTGGTGTGAGTTTCATATAGTATACTGTACAATTCTTCATTGGTAACATAATACTGTATGTTCGTTTCCCCTGGTTTTAATGGTACAATTAACTTCTCTTCATCATTAATTTTTAAAACATCAAAACGTTTTAATCGTCTGTAATCCAAAGGTGTGTTGCATTTAATTTTAGCAGAAACCACTTCAGAAAGTATTTTAGAATACTTTTCTTGAGAAAAATAAAAACAATTGTCTTCTCGTTTACCCGCAATTAATGCATTTAACTTTTCAAGAAAAAGATCACGATTTACTGCAGTATCCATTTAGTATAAATTAGGGTATCGGAAAAAAAATTAAGAAAGCGTTGCTCGCGTTATCAAACCTTGCATAAAACTGACAAAGCTGATTGACTCCGAGCAGAACAAAGGATTTGGCTTTCACCGACGTATTTGGTATCTGTTGACATTCACCGGTGAAAGTCGACATTCTCCAATTTCGGTCATTCACGGTAACATATACA